CTACTAAGAACCAGTAAGTCTAAGCTTTGCAAGGACCTGAAGCACTATGCAAACATTCTTCGACTCCTCAGACTCATTCGGGTGGCGCGGCGCTGAGACATCTTGGGCCAACATCTTCCTGAACTACATTTGTGCTGTCTGCTGCAGTTGGCGGAAGTTATGTGTCATTTGATTAGTGCTGGCCCTGAGGTCAAACAGTTGAAGCAGTTCCCGCGAGTTCAGTTCATGGTCCGCACAGTGTCGCGCATGGTGAACGCAGCCGCAAGCTTACCTCAAGGGTCACCGAGGATACTGCAACCTGCTATGCTTGCAGTCAGCTCAGCTTGCCGATGTGCATGACATTTCTTGTCTACTGGTCTGGCCACTGCAGGCGACAGTCGCATGCAAGAGAATATCTCCACCTGTCGCCACAGTCATTTGATCCATAATGGTTTCCAAGGTCAGCTGTATGCTTTTCAAATAGCCCAATACCTCGTCGCCTCATTGAGGTCATGCCGGCTAGCAGTATTGCCACTTCCCTCTCCCTTGCAAGCAAGCCTTGTGGTTCCCGGCGTTTGCTGCAGGCCGGTGACATTCTTCAGCTGTTGGGCGTGTTGCTCTTTTTCTTCTCAGCTTTGAGTATGTGCCTGGACTGCAACCCCCTGCAAGCTAGCCTGGGGGTTTCCCAAAATTAGGNNTGGGGTACCCCTATTTAGGGAAACTTCCGCCTATCTCTGGAAACTGCAGTGTGCAGGGATGGCCTTGGCTTGTCAACATGGGGTCGTAGAAAGAAGCAGCCCTAGCAGCCGTGGCGGGTGCAAACACTATATATTTTTCCTATATTTGAAAGTTATTGGTATAACTTTGCATTATTCTTAGTATTATGATGTTATTACTATATTACTACTAGCTATCTGCATCATGACATCAGGAATTTGTGGGGTGGCGTCCTTTACGAAGGCCAACCTGCGCTGAAGGACGCACTTGCGCTGGCATATTACCATAGCGACTAAAAACAACCCCTGTATAACCCCGATTTCCATTTCATTTTCCATATCGGTCTTTTCCATTTGATTCTCCATNNGTTTCCATTTTATTTTCCATCATGAACAGCGGTACAGGGCTTCTGTAGGGGCTGCAGGGTCGCTTTTGTCAGCAATGGGCTTGGCAGGTCTCAATCCTATTCACCTCAACTGTGAGACAGAAGGATTGGGGTTGTTTATTATATGCTGGGGTTACATAGGGGATAATGAAAATAATATGGAAGCTGCTACAATACAGGGTACCAGCGACATCCCAAGCCTGCGAGCATGATGCAGAGGAGCTCGACTATGGCAAGAAGCATCTGCCACTTAGCGGATGAATCCACGGGTCGGGAAATATGGCTGACCAAAAGCATTCATGCTTCTCCAAACGCACAAGCGGTATGTTAGATGGGATACCATCATAGCACCAACATAGAGAAGGATTTTCTCGCTTTGGTTGTAGTAATCATAAGAAGAATGCAGTCTTGCTTATGTCAACCACCAAGAACACGTCTCGCATGCTCAGGTACGTCTTCAACTTCAATGACATGTCCATGGCCTTCATCACCTTCTTTGCGCAGCTTCTTAGACACTCAGCCTGACAGCAAATTCTGGGGCAGATTCGAATGATTTCATGAAAGTTTATATAGAGAATGCTCCCAAATCTGCATAATCTGAGGGTCTGAATTGTTGTTTTCATAAAACGGCCAGAAATTTCTCCTGTCAAGGCATTCACATTCTGGATTTGCTTTCGGGTCATTTGGACATTGCCGCTGACTGTATTTTTTAAAGGGCGAAGGCTAACCGATGCTTTTTCCTTGTCTGGGGCTTAGGGTTTCGGGTTTGCGGGCCATGTGCTGTACTGACAGCTAGTGATCGCTGGGGCCCCTTTTGAATTCGAGTCGTATCTCAGCATATTATGGCGTGTACAGTATGCCGGAAATGGATCTCACCCCCCAGGCCCCTCCCTTGCTTCGAACTTTTAACCCCAAACCTACTAGTCAACTCTGCATAATAAGTCGCACACTCCAAGGTCTAAGCAAAGATCTAGCCTAGGCCCTGCAAATTACACTCAATCCCGAAACTTCAGCTGCTTGCCCATCAACTTTCCGAAATTGTTAATCAGGTGAGTACGTCCCAGAAAATGCGGATGCCTTGCAGGCAAAGCCAGTGATTTCCCTTTGCTGTCAATCGTGGTCCTCGATACCTCTTTAGAACTTTCTAGTAAACCCTCTTTAAGATGCCCCGTGTGTGTGAAATGTGCAATTCTCCTGAGACGTCTGTCTCATCATCATCATCATCATCGTGCTTGGTGGCGGCAGCATTGGCGTCAACGCAGCAGTACGATGTGCGCGATTAATTTTATGGCATTGTGGGTGCCGCATGTCGAGCACCGGCAGACGCAGATGCTGAGCGCAGGCGGCTTCGTCCTGGGGAAACGTTGCCTGGTACGTTTTCCCGCTTTTCAGCTGCATTTACAGAGAGCCAATGCTTCCGTTCTTGACTGTATCATATGAAGAGGCATGGTGTTGGTTGAGTTCAACGGCTTCTGAAGAACCTATCTTTGCCCCTCAGATCTGTGATGGGGTTCCTGTAGATATTAGAAATCCTACATGACCGTGGTAGACGTACCATCATGCCCAAGGAAAAGGGTACTTAGGGTCGTGCAGGANNAGGATTTTTCGTATCCACCGTAGCAGGGCTGTTAAAGAATTCAACAATCTCTGCGTCTCGAGATTATTGCCTCCTGTTGCCTCCAAGTCTGAGCTGTCTGGCCATGCAAACACAAGCGCTCCGAATGGGGTTCTGATCACAAAGCACCCGTACCCCCAATCAATTAGACGGTTCTAAATGGTAGTTTCCACAGATGGGGAGACTCCAATATCAACCCCCATGGAGAAAAATCCATTTTATAGGGACTCTCCCCAAACAGGTGCCCCTAATTTT